ATACAGTCAATCCCATTGCATTTGTTCAGGTGTATTATTTCTTTTCATGTATCATAATATTTTTTTTCAAGAATACTTCAACATATAAAGTTTCAAAACKTCCTTACAATGTCAATACAATTTAATTCGCTATTTATTTACATTTTAATGTAGAAATTTTCTCTTTTCAAAAGTCCTGGAAAACTCTACCATACTGTCTAAATACGGCAACCAGAGCTACGTAAAGGCACTKACCGGCTTCATGGCCACTACGTTTAACAAGACAAGTCCCGGGGATTGGGTGAGATGTTGGCACGCTAGTCAAGATGGATGGGACACTCGACTTTCATTTCATCCTCAGTGTGACGGAAAGAAAGCTACAGTGACGATAGTYCGTGTTGGTCAGTACGTGTTTGGTGGCTTTACGGATAAATCTTGGCATAGTGGTAAGAATGAGACGAGCCCTCTTATCGTTTAGAATRTTATTTTAAGAAGAATCCATCAGTGGACGGTTGTAGCATAGTTAATRGAGGGACTGGTCCCCTATATAAACTATGGTTCTAGAAAGGATGAATAAAGCTATCAATGAATCTACAAGATTATCCATCCTTTATGCACCTTTCGCAAAGGACGACATGAAACCCAGCAACAAGTTGTATAATATAGTCTCCTTCACGGTTCCCTACGCCATCTTGAAAAGTAGCCGTGCCGAGCATCGACGCGAGACGAACGTTAAGCATGCAGTGATAGAAAGCTTTWACACCAACAGACAAGTACACTTTTACAGGTATCTATCATTYCATCGGTCGTCTCGATTTTATACAAAGGTACGGCTACTTCTCAAGATGTTGCAGGGATGCGTGAATGAGACAGTTTCCCAAATTCATGATGACGTTCAGTATCTGAAAACAGTAGAGCAAAGTATATCTATTTACCTGATAACACTGCTACAATGAAATAGTTTTCTWCACTGTTCCCTGCGCTATTTTGAAAGGTAGCCGMGCCTTTGCATCGAAGCGAGACGACCGTTGAGCGTGCAATGATAGRAACCWTYTTTCACAYCYRCAGACAATTATTCACAGGTATCTATCATTGCACGCTCAACGGTTGTCCTGCATCGATGCAAAGGCACCGCTACCTTTCAAGATGGCGCAGGGARCCGTGAAGGAGACTATTTAGTTTTTATTTGTCAATAGCCGTTCTCTATACCAAGTCATCAAGATCCTTCCTATTCTCACTGTACAACATCAATGGATTTCAACCCATTCAGTTGAACTTAACAAAACTAAACCATGAAATGTATGCTATTTACGGTAATAAAGCATATGGTCCAGCATTTGGATGGAGTTACCAAGATCTRCGTATTGTTAATCTTGCGATCAATTACGTTACTTCGCTTACAATAGTAAGGAGCTACGATCCCCCGCCTGGCTGTAGTATTGGTTCATCTTGTTCTTATTTTGCTGGCCRAAGCAGGTTTACGCCAAACGATGTGGAAGTGTTTTATTACACTGGTCAGATAACCAGTAAGTTATAAGTAACTAGTGTGAATAAAGGGGAAAAGAAACAATGTCTTATACACCTATTTCAAAAGGCGTTGTCGTCGCCAGGAGAGCCCACATTCTTGAGCCTGCCAATCTCGGAATTTCCATATATTTCATAACAATATTGAACGCGCTTTATTGAACGTAGGCCATGAGAGCGAGAGATCTAATTAATTGTTTTAATTAATATCCAACAACTTATTAGACTATAAGTTAGGTAGCGAATATAGCTTTGAAGCTCATTGACGGTTTGAAAACCTAAAATATTTTTAAGGAAAATGCCGGAGGAGGCGACGTGTTCTGTTTTTCTAAATAACTATTCTTAAACGAATTTTTTCCTAAGACTAAGAGATTTTTTAATTAGCAAACATTGTTGACAATCTCCTAGCTTTTTTTAAATAATTTTGCTCCTGGCAAACATTTTTAAGGCCAAAAAAGGCTTATATAACGTTTTTATGGTTTTTGGTTGGGAAATTTTTGTTTTCCTTGCAAAAGTTCTTATACAAGTAGTCGTATGTTACGCGCGCACYGATTGTTTGAAAAGTGCATATAAAAGCATAGAGACACATCATTCAAGCGAAGAGTTTTTGCTATTTCATAAAAACATCAGATATATCCAACGTTTTGAGGCGTTTTCAATTTTTACCGCACACACGGTCAGCGATATTATCAATAAAATCACAAAGACTTCCCAAAACAGCTTCAATTTTAATTGTTCACGCTCAATTTTTACACAATTCTTATAGAATATATATGGTGAAATTTCATAAGGAGGCTCTTCGCTTCTTTATTTAAGAAAATTCAAAATGTCGGAAAAATTATTGGGGGGGCTGTAGCCCCCCAGCCCCCCCTGCTCCGCGGTCCATGAGACAGCCCACCTCTTGCATGCTTCATTTATGCAATTCTGTATATATTGTATATATACAGCTGTTTGCAATAATTCTGA